ATTGTAAAATAGTTTTTTTATATGTTGCACACCGGGTGAAAAGTCAGTCGTGTAACATCGACGGTCGCTCCTGTAGGCAAAGCCTTGATAGGAATTAAGACTTGCGTAGTTTAATGGTGTTGAACATATTAGGAGTACAAATTTATACAATTATGTGTAAAAATTATTAACTTATATTTAATATGAATATTCTGTTTATTATTAAATTAAATTCTAAATGTTTGGGTAAAGGGTTCATTTTTGTTAGTATATATTTTTAGAGATATAAATATACTAAAAAAATTCGATTAAAACTTTTAAAAAAAAATCGTCACATTTAGCTAGTCTCATGAGAATTATCATTGCAACGTAGAAATCATACTGTATTAATTACTTTATTATTATTATATATATTGTAAAAAAATTTTCATATTCTTTTTTTTTTCAAACTTTGATTAATAACGGCTAGTAAATTACAAAGTTCAAAACCCATTTTCGAATTCTATTAGTCTGCAAAATTTGAAAGTAGTTTCGATATTGAAAAAAAACAAAACATTATCAAGACATTTTTGTTCAATCAACTATTAAATCTAGTAGTATACAAGCGAATATACTAAAAGAATTGAAAATAGTTGAAATTGTTACTTATTAATAGAAATTTTCTGGATTTTGGAGATTTCTGTGTGATGTATGATCACAGGAATTTGAAGAGAATTTTTTAAAAAAGTATTTTTAATAATGCTAGTGAACAAAATCAGAATAATGCTAGCTAAACAATATATTTATAACGACAGCTAATAGAGTATTCTCATGCATGAGATTTAATGAATTCCACGGCCTTTTTAGCATGACCCTTGAAATCAAGTTGAGAACTAAAGACATCCTGAACGATACCCTCCCTATTGATGAGATAAGTTACACGACCAGGTAAGAAACCAAAGGTATCTGAAACCTATGTTTAAAAACAAAATTACATGTTATAAAATAATTAAATTTGAGATATAATATTTTTACCGTTTAATATGCTATAATGATTGAAATAAAACTCTTACACCAAAAGCTTTTTTTGCCTCGCCATTTGGATCAGATAATAATTGGTATGGTAAATTTTGATTTTCTGCAAATCTTTTATGGCTTTCGGGTGAATCGGCAGAAATACCAACCACAATAGCACCAGCTTCAGAGAAAACAGAATGAGAGTCACGAAAAGAGCAAGCCTATCAATAATCAATAGATATGTATCTTTAATTCTTATTCATTTTAAAAGAAAGCACAAAAAACTCATAGAATGCACGTCACTCTGGTTATATTGACACTCTCCAGCAATGGAAAAATTTTCGATATATCCTGATGTCAGTTTAATAAGCATCTCTATCTATACCATCTATACCGATATTATATTGATTGATATTGTGTAAGACATGTCGGTTTAGGCAGAGATAAATTTTATTGTTTTCACCAAACTTAGCACAAAACGAATTTGTTTTATGTTTAGCATAAAGTGAATTCATCTTATGTTTACATGAAATGAATTTATCTTATACTTAACATATATGATTTTTTAACATTAAACTTGTCGGTATAATTAACATCTCTTATGATTGTCGGTAAAACCAACAAATTTTTTAGATTTTTTTTTTTTTTGAAAAAAAGTGTCGATATAACCCTGTCGGTTAGATTGATGTGTTATTATTACCTCTTTAGTACATCCGTATGTTTCGTCTTTAGGGTAAAAAAATACAATTGTAGGCTTTTTACCAACGAAATCACCAAGACAAACATCTTCACCGTCTTGATTTTTCAAAGTTAGGTCTGTTGGAGCGGGTTTGTTTATTAAAGACATTTTTGTAGTAGAATATTTACAATTACTTTGATATTGGATAAAAGAAGGGTTGTGGATAAATTTTGTAGAGCGATGAGAGAAAGTGCGAGAAATGGAAGCTTTTAAAGGAAATGAATTTAATGAAAATGGAATTAGAGATCTTTGAAAAAGAGGTTTTATACGTACAAAAGAAAACTGGATAACGTAAGATAATCGTTTCATATTTGCATATATATAAATTATAATGGCATGGTGTATATTTATATATAAATTTAGATTATTAAGCGTAAAAGGTTAAATGATATCATATTATCACACGCTAAAATATAATACAGGAAACAGGGATTATTATCCGAAATGGTTTATTGTCCGAAGTACAGGAGTACATTTAACATTTGATCAAAGTGATACAATACAACTAGTTACGTTTGATTATAATAGCTATACGTTTTGACTCACTTCACAACTTTATTTAATTAAATCAAAAAAAATAATTTGGCTCGCTTATCATTTTTTGTAACAGAAATATGAAACTCCGGACGCATTACGTTTAGCTTCATTTTACACACTATTCTGATTTCGTAATAAATACTTTTAATTCGAACTCTTTATATGGATTTTTGAAGCTCAAAGCAACTTGTGTAGATATGAATGGAGGTTTAAAAATATCAAACTAATTTTAAATATAGTTGGATAACAAGAAGTATACAATTTGGGGTTTCAAAGTGACCGAAAAATAGCACATTTCGGGTCAAAATTATAAAGTAATTACATTAACAAAAGAATAGAAATGGCGCACTTGATAGTTGTCATTGGGAAATTATTGATAATAAAAGTGAGGGAACAAGTATTTCCACCCCTTGTAAATTATAAACTATTGTTATGAAATTATAACAGCATTGCTATGTGCGATCCAAATACTCCGGCTTAAAAATATGACACTTCATTTTTGCTATAATACACTTTATGTATTATGCTTGTGATCAGATCTGCGAAATTATAAAATTATAGAAACTAACGCTCATATAGATCGACCAGCTAATCTGTGTGGAAATACTTGTTCCCTAAAAGGGATCATATAAAATAGAGATGCGATCCGCTATCCGTTTTCCTATTTAAAATTGACGGATATCCGAATATCCGGATTCCTTATAATAATTTTGTTATAAAATTAAATTAGCGGATATCCTGATCGCATCTCTAATATAAAATAAGCGCTTGCAGAACTCGATTGAAAATGCGTCATAAATACGTCACCTGTTTTAATTACACTTTTACATCTCGATTTGTGCTAGCAAACTTCGTATTTAGTTGATCCAAGTGGCGTGGTTTCATTCACATTAGAAGTTGATTAAGCTCATTCTACTTTGTAAAGTAATATCATTCATATATGATACGATCAGTATTGGGTGATGTACCTAGGGATGGTAAAAAAACGTTTTAAAACGTTTTTTATATGTTTTTAATTGTTTTAAAAAAAGTTTTAAAACATCGAAGCTGATATTAAAATTTAAAGTGACACTTAGTCGGAGTTTAAAACTCCGATCAAGCCCCGAAAATTTGAGGTAACACAAATTCTAAAGTCAAATTTTCGCGACACTTGGTCGGAGTTTAAAAATAAATTATTGCACTTTGGCCGGTAAATTTTGATTAAAAAACATTTTAAAACATTTTTAAACAATTAAAAACAAAACAATCATTTGTTCTAAAATCATGTTTTAAACCATTTTCCATCCTTAGATGTACCTCACGCGAGGTAAACTTAGCACACCTCGCGCAAGGTTACATCACGCAATTTTATGTATGTAATAATTTTTTAATTTAATTATCAAAAAGTTTTTATATTGTTCATTAAATTTATCTAATTGAATGATTTATTTCGCGCGAGATTAATGTCACCTTGCGCGTGTGAGGATTTCGTCACCTTGTACGAGGTACATCTCTAGACATGGGTTAATTGGACATAAGTTCAAAATAATGAGTATTGTATATGTCATCAAAGCTAATTGGATTTAAGGCGAAGGCTAATTAGACAAAGAATATAGACTAATTAGATAAAGGATAAAGACTAAGTAGACAAAGGATAAAGACTAAGTAGACAAAGAAATATAGCCTAATTAGACACTGGATAAAGACAAAGTAGACAAATGATATAGGCTAATTAGACAATGGATAGAGGCTAATTAAAAACATTAGACTTAATTGCTAGTTCACGAAAGAAAGAGAATATTAATAAGGGAGATTTTTATAATAAACCAAAATTTATTTTAGCGCTTTGCAAAAAGATGATTTTTGGAAAAAAATCTGAGATTTTTGATTGTCTGTTGTTTTATATTTTCGAGCGGTTATGTTTATATTTCTTTGAAATCGATAAAATTCTTAAAATCGATAGAATCTCCGATTGTGATATGCAGAGGCCACATCTTTTGCAAAGAGCAATAATTCAGAACCCACAAAAATCTGAATCCATTTACAACGCATAAATTATTTGTTTAGCAATAAATATTACCGTATTCCTCCGAAAATAAGCACCCCTTTTTTGCACTTAATGTTGGTCAAGATAGTTATAATTCAGGCCAAATTTTTTATAATGCAGGCCAGGGGTGCTTATTTTCGGGGAGTGCTTATTTTCGGAGGAATACGGTACTTTAATTCAGTATATGAATATTATAATTTCATAGCTTATTATTTTTATTCATAAATTACACTTCTCACAATCTAGTAAAAATGCTAAAGCATTAATTCAGAATAGTACTGTACATTTATAAGTAAAAAAATTAGATGCCAAAATGGTTCGTAAAGAGGAAAATGGTGACTTCTTTCTGCTTCATCCTTAGCAAGAAGAATTATCTAAGGCAGAATTTACACTTTTAATTACCAATTCATCTCTTATATATTTGTCTTCCTTCTCAAATTTTTGCAAAAAAAAAAACGAACTTTTTTTAAGTTCGTGATTACATACATACTATATACTGTTGAACCTGTCAAATTAATCTGTTTCTGCTATATATATATATTTATCCTGATAATCTTTCATTACTGATACAAAAACTGTCCACCATGCAAATCGGGTTTGACTGTATATTTTTTTTTTGCAATTACAGAATTACTGTATAAAGAAAAAAAGATCGTCACCAATCTTAGTTATCCTAATTTCGGCCAATTAAACCACTTCTGCAATGCCGGGTAAAATAGATTCTACCCCAATTTTTCAGTACGATCAACCAATTAAATTTGTGATGTGAAATTATATAGAAAAATATAACGATAACTGCATACATCGATACGTGAAAAAAACTGAATAATGATTCATACGACTTTACCACCACACGCTCCTCCAACAGAAAGTACAAGAGGTGGCATATACCACCCTACACTCCAAGAAATACAAAAAGATTCGATTTCTTTATTAGCTCAAGAATATTGGCTATCGAATGATCCTGATACGCGAGAATGGTCACCCAATATAGTTGAAGATATTTATTTTAAAGAATTGGAAAATAATGGGTTTGAAACTAAAAAATTAATGTTGCTCGAGTTCAGCCAATACTTGGAAAAGGTAAAAATTACTCGTAAAATTATATGATACACGTCACTGGCTTCATATATTTGTATTAATAATTTATTTTTACAGTATCTTTGGCCAAATTTTGATGGTGAAAATACATCTTTGGCTCATGTTTTATCCATAGTTTTAATGGTTAATGAAAAATTCAGAGAGCGCGTGTCCGCTTGGGGTATCGTTTTTCTATAATTTAATCTTGATCTGAAATAAAATTTATTCACTTTAATTAACTCGTACATTTTTTTAACAGATTGTTTCGCGAGCAGACCTGATCAATTCAATTCATTTTTCATACACGTACTTCGTTTGACTGTACCTCCATTATCGGATAAACTTACTTTTCATGTTAGGCGTTTCCTTTTAATCTTCTTGATTCATGCTTTCCAAAGCTTAGAAAACCAATTATTAAGAACTGAATGCATGATGTATTTATTTTATTCATTCTTTTAAAAATAACTTTTTATTTTATCAAAAATTTATGTATTTATGGCAAATTTCCTTTATTTTTCTTTTTAATAGTTTAGTATCACTTGTAACATGGCATTGCTTTGGTACTTCATCGCTCCGTGAAAAAGAATTCGCTTCTGATAAAGATCTTAAAAAAAGGTGGAACGCTTTTGCAAAAAGGTTTAAAAAAGCAGGTAGTCAGTAATTCTTGGTTGGTACATGTTGTAATATTCATCAGTTTAATTTAATTGCCGTTTAAAAATTATAATTAAACCATTCTTACAAACTATAAATAAATAAATAAATAAATATATATATATATATATTATTATTTATTTTTTATTTTAATTTTAATTTTTTAATTAGATAAAGATCAAAAAGAACTTTTAATTTTTCAGAGGACTTGGATAAGTAATCTTATGAAAGGATTCGTAGAAATTTTATATTCAATACCGGAATCTGACGATGGTATAATATTTATTCAATCAATCGTGACCATGTTAGTATTTAATAAAGTGCTAAACGCGCTTAATTCAATAATTTAGCGGATAGTGATGCCATTGCATATTGTGAACGTTTCTTGGAGTTTTTGATTGATCTTGAAGCACAACTACCCACGAGAAGATATTTCAACACTCTTCTTGATGATCATCAGATATTGGTTTTATGCAAATTATCTCCTTTAGTTAAAC